GGGGGGGGAGGTGGGGAATCAGACAGTTTGCCGTATTGGGAAAGTTGTCTGGGAAATTGCCGTATTTAACTAAATAAATATGACTTTTTTCTGGTGCTCGATGTCTACAGTCATGTGCCTCTGAGGCGATCAGTGTGGGTGCTTTCGGATACGTTGTAAGGTGTGTTCAACGAATGAGCATCGTACTTCGCACATCAGATCGAATCGTTGACACCATGTATTAGCGACATCACAGTAGAAAGCCTGCAAAAAGGGAACATTGGCTGCTTTTATAGTCCGCCGGCCGGCCGGCCGGCGGACTATGAAAGCAGCCAATGCGAATGGCTTCAAATATGCATTCGGTCAATATCGATCAGTATCAGTGTGCTGCATCGACCAGTACTACTGTATGGACACTCGTGCAACTTTGTGATACCGTTGGACCAAGGTGGTTAGTTACTGGATCCCTCGGGACGTCAAGGAACATCATCACGGCCGAAAGCTCAGTGGTCAGACTTACCCACGGAGGCTTCTGAACGGAAGGAGTGGTATGCTCAGGTCCTAAGAGAGGACGATCTACGGGGCTACTCTGACTCGCTACTAGGACGAATGGAGGCATTACGCCATGTGGCATCATGACGCGTGGTACACGTGGTCAATAATGAATCCTTAATGCTGCTGCTCTCAAAATGCTGACTCGACAGACTACTTCGTAGTGGGATTGGAGACGGTAAATACGCTCACCCAGAAGGATAAGCTCTTCGATTATCAGAGATTGAATGAACGATTCAAGACGAAGAGTGTTTCACCTCTGGAAGTTGTCCCTGCCTCGATCAAAGCTCGGGGTAAAACCCACGTACCTCTATAATTTCATCGCTCCTGCTTGCCATTCGAGATAATCTAGCAAAAAATTGCTCATTGGTAACAGCAATGTAATGGCCAGCCGGATAGATAATTCGTATGAAACACTCGAATATATGAGCTATCGTCACGTCTAACTGATGAATGAAGAAGTACAAAAAGATGATGACAGCAAGGGCCGTCGCCAGACGCTGAAACGAAGCTGCAGTGGGAACCTCGAAATGGCTCATTTCGTTGATAATATTATAACTATAGACTGTGTATAGCCATAAGGACGAAAAATATCGTTGACTTACGGGATACTTTTCGTAAAAATCTTTTAGAGCAGCATATAGGGATTTGGCGGAATATGCAACTCTTGGAGTCCTGCCAATTGTCGTTCAATGATTTTACCATATGTTATGTCTCAGAATAAAGTTAGAGAGATCATCCCAAATTCAATTACCAGGTTTTATTGAAGAGTATTCCCAATTGCTATCGTTTACTTCGTAGCTACCTTCCAACAAAAGTAGTTTAGAAGGCATTCAAAGTCAGTAGGGTAGATAAAAATGACGGGCTTTTATGAAAGCTTGATGAATTAGTTTAACCAATCGCAGTCAGAAGCTATAAAGCCCTCTGATATGGAGAATTGAGTAGCTCTTTTTAAACTGATACAACCAGGGGTATAGTACTGTGCTGCTGAACTTTTGGCTTAACGTCAAATGAAGTTTTCTATTGAACTATTTTAATATAGCACATGTACTACTGTAACGCCCGAATATTTGACAGAACCCAATTCCGCCCTATCAATCTTTGGCCATAGCAGCATTTTTCTCAGTTTTCTTCCGATTCTGTGATCACTTCCTTACCATAATTGAGTCGAACACGATGAAGAGCGTCTGCTGTATGTACGAGCTGAGTACTGTGAGCCACGTGAAGATCGCCTCCTACTACGCGAACGACTGCGACTACGTTGACTTCTTCTGGAACGGGATCGCCTTGGTGCACTTGAACGCCTGTAAGAGATATTTGTGTGTACTGGTCTTCCTAGGCCTTCTCTGGAGAGTTTCGGTTGTGAGAAGCGCCCATACACAACCGCCTGGAGAAACATGGAACAGAAACTTTGAAACCAGCTATCTTCTTTCCAAAAAGCACACCCACATCCAACAGGGGAGAGGGGCGGGATATTGTACCGAACGGCGGGCCACACCAAACGACCGCTTATGTGCAAGGTCCCCTACCCGAAAGTGGCGTTAACTTGCATGTGAGACAAGCGTTGAGTCAATATCGGATCCGCTCATCACAAAAGGCACCCTCAATAGAACTAACCAAAACATACCTGGATGATCGACGTGAGTTTTCGCTGAATGGTTCCGGTTCCAACACACGTTGCTGGAATACTGCTGGTTCTTCATAAGGTGATTTAGGCGTTTGTACTGGTTCTCCAGGTGGTTCTGGTGGTACGACAATCACGTCGTGCTCAGTATTCAATATGGCTGTGTGAAAACTTTCCGAGTGTATTACGCATTCGCTTGTTGCTAGTGGTGGCGGTAGTCCGTGGACCTGAACAATACCTAATCTGAATTTCATATGAGTTCTGTCACTCAAGAGCCACCTACGGGACAATCCGATCGATATCCACCCTCGAAGATCGCTCGACTTTCTCGTGACTCCTGTCTAACTGGACGCCAAATTGAGTGTGTTGATCCATGTACAGGGCACATCGAATATGCCGAACCTCTTCTGAAAATCAGGCAGACATTGGTGAAATAAGAGAGCCCTGGAGTGTACTGTTTCCCATTGGGCGGCCGTTGAGTCTCTCGCTTTCCATGGTTCACTATTACTATTGATTGCTACTATCATACTACATTACATTACTACTTGACCAATGCCTTACCGATATCCGTCGTAATTGCTGTCCATTCCAGCAGGTTCACGCCACACATGCTCTCTTATCTGGTAATCGCTGGGTTCAATCGGACCATCGTCCAGTATCAAATGGCTATCCACTTGTGAACTTCAAAACACTATTCATAAAGAAGAGTTTAATGAAAGGAGTTGTTATCATTGCTTTTCGAGCGGGGAATAGAAGAAGGTGGAGAGGGTTGGGTTTCAACGTAGGATGTTCGCAAGTGGGGACCAATGCCAACGGGGTAACATAGAGCCAGTTCCAGCCTACTCTATACTGTTTTCAGAAACTCTCTCCACCTATTCAAGGGATTTCTTCGGATAGATGCTCGATATCTTTCTCTAGTCTAGAGTGTCTTACCTTGCATTTGGATCCCTTCTGCGAAATACACCTGACATCTATCGAGTGAAGTATTGTGTTGAGCAGTCCTACCTAGAAATCTAATTAAATAAAGAAAAACCCGATCCTTGGCTGGGATGTTTCTCAGCACCACAGGCCCGCTTTGTCGGTTCCCCACCCATCTCTGCACTCTTGTCCTTAGGGTTGGAGATGCAGAGCACGGTCCTTATTGTGGAAAGATGCAAATCAACTCACCTGAGAACTATACGTTTGAAAGTGGATGTTACTTGTTTACAAGTGGATCAAGAAGAAATCTGTTGCGTAAATCTTCATCCGACTAGACATATCTATATCAGCAGTATCTATAGGTTATCCTATAGCGGTAACAACCGAAGATCACTTCAGGAGCCGTACACAACAGAAGTAACAGGTTAGGGTAACGCGGTTCAAAAAATCGAATTAAGGTCCTGATTCCTACCGCGACCGGACCATTCCAGCAATACATTCCTTCGTTTCCTCCACCTTCATCTCATTTCTCATATCTTTCTAATTTCGGACCCTCACTTTTTGAAATCAGCGGAGCAGTGAGCTAAAGGTTATAGAAATCGTATTAGGAAAAATGGTGCAGATACAAGCTGAAAATCGCTTGGGATTCATCAAATCTTCAGCGGAGTAGCCATGGCTGTACATCTATTTCTGAGGTCTGTTTTCCTATGAACCTATTCACACTGTACAGCTGTGTCCAGATTCTGACACCTTGCGATGTTCGACACCCATTCACCTTATACAGCCAACGATGGCACGATGGATCGTGACAATGTAGCGAGCTTTTACTTCGAACACTTCAGAAAGAATCTCTGAAGTTTTTCATTGCCGTCGTGAGAAAACTTGGTTTTCTGTAGGGAACCAGTCAGATAACCGATTGATACGATATGGAAATAAGTATCGCTATCACAATCATTCATTGACCTCTGCAGCCCTCGACTGCGTCGATTTTCGAAGTAGTAAGTTTAGAAGGCCTCATCAAAAAGGTAACCAACTTTTTTTCGAATTTTATTGATGGTTTTTCGGTTCTGAAGGCTATAAATTTGGTTTTATGGGGAAGGGAAAGCAATTCGTACTTTAACGCTCGAGCCGACGATCTGATGCGGCGTCTGCTAGTTGAGGGGACAAATGGCGATAGAATCGAAGTGCATCCGCCTGATGTAGGCTACAGGAGCTGTGCCTCATCCGAAGAGTTCGCACATAACACCCTGATATGACCCTAACTATGTTGGCTGTTGGTTTCGAACACATAAGAGATTCGAGGCGGCTAAGCAAAGGCGGCTCATTGTACGTGGAACAAATCCCTTACTGATCGATTCAGGGGTTTCTAACCCAAATAGGATGGGATCTAGCCATGCAGATACCATCAACATCTTTCAGTTCATGCAACAAACATTCTCATAATGGTATCCCGTCGGCTGCTGAAGATGATGTTACTTCTGTTATGTGTTGGCCTCGTCAATATAGCCCTTCTCATGGATAGAATATTTTTCACCAATAACTTTGAATCTTCTCGAAAAAGACTTGTGAGTCCAATCCCGTTTTTGATGCCATAAAAGCGACTTTTATTTCTCGACTTTTTGGAACAGCCGCAGTATCCTGGTCGGTTACATTTTCAGCGGAGTAGTTCGAGTAAAGAAACAGAGAAGAGAAGTTGGCTAGAAAGTGTTCTTCCCCTTCCACAAATGTCTGTAAGTGTTCTGTGTTGTGTTATTACCGTTTTTGGAACAGCTTCTGGAAGCACAAAGTTCATAAAATCTGAGGATAAGCTTGGAATTTTCCTTGACTGGGAGCAACACGGAAGTTGTAACCGAGAGTTCATTCAGCTTACTCCTCGGGGTGGAACACTCGGAAGAAGTGAACTACCTTCATTTCAACATTGTAGAGAATCAAATGAGTTCTCAGACAAGAGCCTAGTTCTGCTCTGTCAGGAGCCATACCTGTTCTCTTCGCTGTAGTAAATCTGTAGGAATGAAAAGGCAGCATTTCATTTGTGTCCTCGCTCTAGCCATATAGGCCAGGAAGTAGAGAAGTCCGGCCCTCTTCTTGTTCGTCTACGACACCTATGCTGCTCGACTCGAACTTCCTGAACGATCATGCAATGAAATTCTGCTGGTCGTTCCTATCCCAAGAAGTTCATTGAAAATGGTGCCTACTATTCTTTTCGTAAATCATCTCCAAAGTCAGAAATGTAGCGAGTCTGATAGGCATTTCAATCAGTTTTATTATTAGGTGTCCCAAAATTTTTGAGAAAATTTATTTGGTTTTTTTAACACAAAATACTACAACAAAAAGGTGAGATCAAGTAATCGAGATAGTGGCCCTCTCTAGCCACGACATCCCTCCATCGACTGGGCGGAGCACTGATGCCATTCATCTAGAAAGAAGAGGAGCGCGACGCGATCCATTTATCTACTGCGCTTTTGACCTCTGACGGTTATGAATTCTTTTCCCTTTGAGGTAAGTTTGTAGACTCCTGGACGCGTGGTAGTCGCAAGGGCTAAGGTCAAGTGAATACGGAGGATGGGGTAGTCAGGTAATCCCATTCCTTTCCGGCTCCTCAGCCGTCGCCCTAGCATGATGTGGTCGAGCCTTGTTCATCAGAATCAGAATCGTTTCCTGCATTCGATGTGAAACCGGGGCTCGAGACACTTTCTCCCGCAGCTCTTTGCAGAGTACCCTTGCAGTCACAGCAGCACCCTCAGGTAGGGCCTCATAGTAAAGACAGCCGGCGGAGCAGAAGAAGAACGAGAGGCGAGAGAAGGTGCAGCACTGCCCATCGATGACAGCAATTTATTCCGGGCTTGAGTGGCGGAGTAACCATATCGGTAGAATGAAGCAGAAGGCGCCTGTAGTCGTGTCCGTCGGACATGATTCAAATGACGATAACTCACTTCCAAAGATGAAGTGCAATACTGTCCTATTGTTTTGACGATCTACCAAGAGTGCCCATTTTCTGTCCTTTTGTCCGTGGCTCTGCTTCGGCGCATCCTTTCGCAACATGGTTGCGAAATTCGTTACCAAAATTTTCTCAAAACTTTTGGGACACCCTAATAGGATTATAAAGATGACCTGCTATTTTTCCACACTAATTTCCTATCTTCTTCCGATCTTAATTTCTATTGATTTGAAATAAATAAGCAGTATGGCGTAATGGAGTCCGATGTAATCGAGCCAAGCCTTCTGTCGTTCTTCCCGCATTTGTCTCCAAAGGATATGTCATCGCTCAGACCACTACTGTTTACCAAAGCGACCGGAAGAGAAAGAAAAATTGTGAGTATTTTTCCATCTCATATCTCTATATCTCAAAGGAAAACAAGTTTGAGGGAAATACTTGACATCTATCAGTCCCTTCAGCTTTCATCATGCCCTCTTCATCTTCCCGACCTGTTAGATGGCGCCTCCTTACCAATACCTACAGAATCTTCCACCCTTTTATCTGAACACAGCCCTCGGATTCCTCTTTTTGTCCACTTGATCTGGGCTTTGACGCCAGTCCTTGATGCTTCTGGGGAAGGAATCCATGCCACCCTTATGAGCGGAGCTTTTGCGCCTCCTGGTGCATGGAGACAGTAGATTTGTACATCCGTAGGTCTTATAGAAATTTTGAGTCAAGTTCAAAACAACAAGTCAAGTTTCTGTTCCACCCTGTTGTGGGTAACTTGCTGAAGCGGTGAAGGCGTTGGAGAAGGGACGTGTCAAGGGATCAAGTCGACACGATATTCCGAAGAGAGAGGTTCGACCTTCGGAAATCCGAAATTAAGTGGCCTTGTTCCAGGCTTTTTGCATGCTAGTAGTGAAACGCGAAAAACCATACATTCTTCAATCACTGCACTCACTGCTCACTAATCTTGAAAAGCAATGGAGGTACGAAATGTTTCAGTTCCTTACAATCGTTGTGCCCTTGCTATTTTGACCACTGCTTTCCGGATTGAGGAAAATTCTTGATTTATAGGCGTAAAGTGGTTTTCATTGTGATGTTCGCCTACATTAAAACAAGGACGAAGTCATTTATGCACCTTATGGACCAAATACTAAAAACGTTTGCAGCTGAGATTCAAATGGGCCTAGTCGAGGTTGGTCCACGAAGTTGAAGGGGAAGAGAAAACACAGATGAAAGGACCAGGGATCAAAAACCGGTTACGGTCATTTCATCAGTAAATCATCTTAAGGTAGTCGCGATCCCTCCAAAATGGTACGATTTCGATATGGGCTCCATTCAATCGACGTTTAAGGATTCACCTGAGCGCATAATTTGGAGAACCAAGCAAAACCTAGGTGATCTCTCATTTTTAGAATTGATTTCTTGCAATCGATAGCTTTTGCAACGGCTCATAGTTACCGAAGCATCTCAATAAAATGGAAAGAAAGGGTAATGACCATTTTGGGCTATCAAAATGGCTTCTAGAAGGATTGAGAAGGAGGAAGTTGCTCGTTCGTCGTGCTGTGAACCGGAAAGCAATCACCGGTCACCATCCCTGTTAATTTCTACTTAATAATAATTGTCAGAAGCATCATGATGAGTATCACCAATTCTTCACACTTGCTTTTCGTTTTAATCATCCCTTCAGATTTCGTCTACCTGATGAGTTACGGTAGCAAACGAGCTGAGTATTATATGCAGTTAAACGATGCTACAACATCGATTCCAAGATATGGGTAATCAGACGTGCCAATTTCAATTCCTTTTATTTTGTTTGAGTTTCGGTAGGTGAGAATTCTCAGCGAATGCTGAATGAAAGCGAGCAAATTTCAAACGCTGGGACCGCATTCATACTCGGCGGATTTGATTGTGAAGCATCCGTGTCTCAGACAGAGGGATATTCTGAGTGTGATCAAAAGGTACAGTTCACTGTAATTTTGAGGTACCCCCTTTCTAGTTGAAAAGCGGAGGTATAGGTTGGGAATAGTTCATTGGTAGTGAAGAAAGCGAAAAATTTCACCGATTTCGAGAAAAATAAGTCTCTTCAAAAGTAGGGAAACTAGAGGTTGGACGAGATCACCATGAAGGAAATAACATGGAAGGGGTTTTTGGACGAGATTACAGTTGCTGCAATCGCCCAAAGAGCTGACTACATCATGCCAGAACTGTACGGAACTGCCTTTCACCGCCGCTATGGGTCATGACAGGTTGTGTGAAATCCTACACGGGTTCCTTTGTGTTCTGTGCAGCGTCTACCATGTCGGCGAAACTCGTCCGAGGATACACACAAGACAATCTTCGAGCCTTCATAACGCCTCCATTAGGCCTTTTTCGACCAAATAGTGCCTGATATGGTATACGCGGGTGTCTCTAAATCACCCTGTAGGGGAATATCAGAGACCATTTTTATCGTGAACTGTGCTTTCAAGTGTTTATCAACAAAAGGTAGGGGGACGCACGATTCGTGCGATTCCGGTGCGCGCGGCAAATTGCGCGGTGGAATTCATGATGATTCGAACGACTCTGACGCCTACTATTGGAGCACAAACTTAAGTAGTAAGGTAGATTAGTAGGATCAGCTGACCATACCCAACTATTCTACTTCAAGTTTGTGCCCCAATAATAGGCGGCAGAGTCGTTCGAATCGCATCGAATTTCGCCGCGCAATTTGCCGCGCGCACCCAGAATTGCACGAATCGGCACACACCCCAAAAGATAGAATGAAAAAAAACTCAAACGAACTAACATCATGACGGAGTACCCATTTCCTTTACGAAGCTAAGAGCTACTTCACTCCAAAGCAAGGTCTCATCAGCTGGCCCTCACCAGGCTCCTAGACCTCGGTCTTTTTCTGCTGCGACGACGTAAAAGGAGGAAAGCTAGCAGTGCTGCTCCCAGTCGGGGAGTGGGAGTTGTTCGGCTTACAACTGGCACTCCCTTATATCTCGATTCTAAAAGAGTCATTCCACTGCCATCAACACCGCGTTCGACTACCAATCGTCGACAACCATCTACTCGCAGACGCCACCTCCTCGCGCAGGTCAGAGTCAAAGCCGGCCCAAGCAACGATAACTTCTGGTAAATGGGCATAAGCTTCTAGGATTGAATGCGTTGCATAATAACGTGCGCAAACACTATGGCCGACGGCGCATAATCACCGAGTGCAGAAGCAGAATGAACAGTCAAAATTATTCAGGCGGATAATATTCAACTACTTGAAATTCAAGGAGGACAAACCATGGTTTGCTATGCATTTCTCACCCAGTGAGCTCACCGGCAGATTGTACAGGTTAGCGTGGTACTCATCGTCGGATAACTAAAGCTTTTGAGCAGAATGAACAGTGAAAATTACAGGCGGACTCTGAGCCTTTAAAAAATTAGAAGTGATTTTTCGGTGTCAGAATCTTCCTATTATCCGCCTACTTCTTCATTTTTATTAACAGTATGACTGGTAGCGAGGGCGGAGGTAATGTAGTGGCAAGTGATGCACTATTTCACACGCACGGCTATGGGTTCGAATTCGGGGTCGATATCCGCCTAGGCCAACCAAGCCTTCTATCCCTCCGGGGTCGGCTAATTGGTACCAGACTAGTCTGGGAGGAGAAAAGCACTGACTTGTACATCGGCTGGCTACCTTAAGGCATTGTATAGGCCACATACGCACTCATTACCCCACTACGATTCTGAATAGAAGTCGAGTGCGTGGGCGCATACCTCAGACGGGATTGAGTAACGCCAAAAGACTTTAACCTTAATCCTTTATTACTCGTAGCAGCATTACTCAGATTATTGCAGGAGTGAAGATGTGAAACAACTGACTTATACGATTGCATTGTATTATCAATTTAAACCAGTGGGATGGATTCTTGTTGATGACGAATTCAGTCGTTTCTGTTCTCCAGAATACAATAGAACCCAGTGTTTCAATGTAGGTGAACTATATTTCACTTCTTTTTCTCGAAACCCTTTCTGAATTCGGATTCATCAAGCAAAGAACGTATCACTAATTTTCTAAACCTTTTTTCTGAGTTTTTTCGTATTTGGTTGCTCTTTGTGGTTTTCTTTCCTGAATATGACTGCGGATAACAATACTGTACTGGTAGAAGATGTACCTTATTCAAGGAAAAATATCGTTCTGGTAAGTAGGACGCAGGTGTCGCAAAATGCAAGAACCTCGAATGTGCTAGACGATGAGATCGAGGATGTCATCCGTAGAGTTTAGTACTATTACGGCATCCTCGAGTGATTCTCCTGACCCTTATACACCTTCCCGTCGGTCACTGTTCTCCGTATCGTACCATATCTTCCCCTCTTCTACGGTATACCGCCATTGCCTACCAACCCTGATATCAATCTTAAAATTTTACCATTCTTTCATTTTCTTTTGTAGTATAGATAACTTTATCTAGTACCAGGTCGGCTCGAGGAGTGCAGAGGGTATTTGGCCAAGAAACATTTCGTTTTCATAGTCATGCGGAAAAGCAAGCTCAGTTTCTTCCCCAAATCGCGATGCACTACATGGCAGCGCAGACGCTATGTGCGCCTAATATACGATGCGGTAATTAGTACCCCAATTCCCAACTCTAACCCTTTATATTTTTCATTTAGGCTCGCAATTTACATCGTATTATGGTCAGCCCACCTGTATTTCAACACATCGATTCTTTACCTCATAGCACACCACAGAACTTAAAGGATGAGATCACGAACAATTACATCTACCATGTGAGTACAATTCTAGATGCTGTTGTTTTCATAGAACACTTCCCTACATAATTCCCTATTTTAGTTTACTTACCTTTATTTGGTACGACAACTACACATCTGACCAGTGTCAATTTGGCAGGATAACGGAACTTCTCCCCGGTTGCGGCCGTTCACTTTGCGGCATGCGGCCAACC